TGGTCAAGATTAGGAGTGTGGCCAGAGGCCCTAGCTCAGTTCACGGCCCACTGTAGGTGGTCAATGAGGAGGCTTTGTTATTCTTTCACAAAAGGCCAGTTTCATCATCTCATCTCTCCCCTGCAGACAACTCTGAAATGGCTGGCTTCCTGTTGCTCCCAGCATGAGGACATGCAAGGTAAGGCTTGGCCTCATCCCACCCCTCTCGCTCTCCACCTCTTAGTTCCAGCCTCTCTAGATCCCCTTCGGCCACCAGGAATCCACACTCCTACTGGGTGTTTGCTCAAGCTGTGTCCCCTCATTGGTGCACCCTCCCTTCCCTTGGAGCCGACTCATCTTTCAGGCTGCACTCCTGTGTCCCATCCTCCAGAAAGCCTTTTCGGACCTTACCAGATCCAATCCTCTCTTACAACGTCTTCTGAAGTAGTTTTCTAGGATGCGATTGTCCCACATCTGTGAGGTTCTTCGACGACTGTCTGCTCTGCCACCAGGCTCTAAATTCCTTGAGGGCAGACATCTTTTGTGGTCTTCCCACTGCCACACCCCGGCCCCAGGCCCAGGGCCTGGCCCACAGCCTGGCCCACAGCAGGTACTTGGTCATTACTGAATTTTGATCAGAACAGAGCTGATTCCTATGTGGTTGGAGGTCTTTCTCACCAAGCCTTGGTGGCACATGGAGAGGTTAAACTGATTCCACTGTGTGACCACTTTGCAGGTTACTTGTGGGATGTGGAAAGGGTCTGGGGAGACATGCTTTGAAAGATAAGCTGGAGATTGTCACAGAAATCACATGAGTGCCAGCTAGACACACCAGGCTCATCTATGGGTAGACGCCAGGCCCCTCCTGCGCTGCTCATCTGCCCGAAGCCCAGCTTGGGTCTCACTGGACAACATCAACATAGCCCCCCGCTGCTGAGCACCTGCCGTGTGCCAGGCCCCTGCACCAGTGGTAATTATCTCATTAAATTCTCACAACCCCGTGACATAGAAATTGTCAACTCTTTTAGAGATGAAAGAAACTGAGGCTCAGAGAGGTAAAGTCACTGGCCTAACGTCGCACTATTAGAAAGTAGACAGGGGTGTGGTTTGGATTCTTGATTTTTTTCACTGAGGTATAATATGTATACAGTCAAGGGCACAGACCCTCAGCATTCAGCTTGATGAAGTTACCAAATGTGTATCACCACGTAACTACCACCAGAAAGTTCCTAGTGTCCTTCCTCATCGATACCCCTTCTCACCACATGCGATCACTATCCTGACTTCCGTCGCCGCTAATTAATTCTGCCTGCTTTAAGTTCCTAGAAATGAAATCATTCGGTGATCTTTGGTCTGGCCTCTTGCTCCCAGCATAATGATTTTGAGATTTATCCATGATGCTTCGTGTTACCAGCAGTTTGTTCTTTTTTATGGCTGCATGGTATTCCACTGTGTGAATCTACCACAGTTTATTTACCCAGTCTTTGTTGATGGGCAATTGGGTCTTTTCTAGTCTGGGGCTATTATGAGCAAAGCTTTCTATGAACATTCTAATCTAGTCTAGTACCTGCCTAGGTGAACACGTGCGCTCATTTCCTTTAAGCGTGTACTATCTAGGGAGTGGACTTGCTAGGCCGTGGGGCAGGCATATGTTTAGCTTTATTAGAAACTGCAAAATTGTTTTCCAAAGGGGTTATATGACCGATTTTATTCACGTCACTGCCCCAATCTGTTTCTTAGGGAAATCATGATGAGGGGTGATTTTATTATTCTGGCTAGAGGGCATTTATTGTGTTGGTAATGAAATGCGATTTGATTCTTTTTAATGCTATTGGGTGATTTCCATTAGAAACGAATTCACAGATCAATGATACACCTTTTGTCAGACCTCCTATGTGCCATTTAGGGGTTCAGATAAATGTGGCTCCATTAATGGACACCGAGTCAAGCTTCCCGAGTCAGAACTTAGGGGCCCAGTTCAGAAGCAGATGGAATTACCATTTGTAGACATGTAGGAAGAGGCTGCTACATGCCAGGCACTGTACGTGGAGCTTTTCTTCATCCCCTTTAATCTTCTCAAATGTATTGTGAAGTGGTAATGATGATTCCATTTCACAGAGGAGGAAACTGAGGCTCAGAGGGGTAAAGTGCCATGGTCTGGGTCTCACAGGAGGCAAGTGTATGGAAAGGATGCCTCCTGGTATGGGAGGTCAGTAGCCTATCAGGACATTGGGGACGGCCTACGCATTGTTGAGCCCTGGGTTGATGTGACCATTAATAGCCAATGCATCTCCAAGAGTCTGATGCCTGGCTTAGAGTCTATGCTCATTAAAGGCTTGCTGGCAACTGAGTGACCCAATGAGTGTAGCTAATGTCAAAGCGGGAATGGAACAAGGACCTCTGGACAAACCTGGAGGTTAATTTCTCTGCCCAGAAACACAACATCATAGCACACGGTATAAAGTTGATAAACTCCATCCCCCTTCTGATCTGTGAGGCTCAGGAGCTAGGAACGCTGTGTGCAAAGCTCCAGCTCCTGGCTTCGCTCCCAGCCCTGTCCACCGACATTCCCTCCATTACCCCTGGCTACTGCTACGCTTGCCCTGCAATCAGAAAGGGCTGTCTGTCGCTAACCGGTCTTGTTCTGGGCATCCTCCTATATCAATCCATACAGGCCAGGAGGATAATGTACATGGGCCCCAGCCTCGGTCTGGCTCTGGCGTGGACCCCCACCCACTCACCCAGGGGCTGTGGGCAAGCCCTTCATTCTGAACTTCGGTTTTCTATCTGTAATAGGGCAAGTTTTTGAGGAAAATAAAACAGTGCAGAGGTGTGGGGTAATGAGGATGTGCATGGGCCTTGGAGGTTCAGACCAGGTTCAAATCCCAACTCTGCTACTTCTCCGCCAGAGGCAGGTGTCTTAGCCACAGGGCACTTCAGCATTCTCATCTCTAAACCAGGGAGAAAAACAGAGCCCCCTGCAGAGATGGGCACAGAAGGCGTGGCACTGGCACGTTTCACGCTCTCATGCAGGTTAACTATTCTTGCTGCTCTTGCGTTACTATTATTGTACTGAGCCAGAGCCAATGTGAGAAACCGATGGTGTTTTCTTGCTAGGAAGAAAACCAGGCTGTCGGAGAGAATACATCCTGCTTCCCCTGAGGATTTTTCACTCTGAATCTCCAAACAGGAGGAACAGATGGGACACACAGTCCATTTACTCACTCAACAAGTATTTAAGTGCCTACTATGTGCCAGGAGTTATTCTAAGTGGCAAGCAATGAGTGCCTAATGTTTAACTTTAACTACTTTTAACTACGGTATCAGCTGGGGGTAGGGGTAGGGAAGACGGAATCCCCTTATCTCTCAAGGAGAGACAAGACGCCTTGGGATTTAGATAAGAGGGAGACTGGGGCGGGGAGCTGGGGGGAAAGCAGCCAGGTGTCGAGAGGGGAGGGAAAACAGACGGCTCCAGGAACGCAGTTTTAAGGAGTTTTACTTAAAAGGGGGCATAAAGTGGAGGGGATGAGACTCTGGAGGTGTCAGTTTAGGGAGACAAGTCCCAGCAGCCCCAGGGTGAGAGAAGAGACGTCTCCCAAGGCTGCTGCTGGAAGGAGATCCTCAGGAGGGGATCAGATGGAATAACAGGATGGGGGGCAGGTCTCCGAAGCCATTGCCAACCCCACTGTCCACCTCTAGCCTCCTCTCCAACATAGCCAGGCCATTGTTACTGGGCAGAAGGAGCCCAGTGAGGGTAGGACTGCCCCCTCCACCGCTGCAGGGGAGGCCCAGAGCATGGGGAGCAGAGGTGGACAGAAGGGAGCAGGGTGTACCAGCCAGGGTGCCAATCCTCACTTTCGACAAGGGAAGAAGACTTGGCAGGCCAGGGTGGCTCACACGAACAGGGTGGCTCACACTCTGCCGGTGCCACATTGAGAGATTTACATGTACCACCCCACAACCGGGGCGGGAAGGTTCCGTTCTGCTCCCCGTCTTATTGATGAAGAAGATGAGTTTCAGAGAGCTGAAGGAATGCGTCCAAGGCCACACACCAGTAAGTGAAGGAGCCGGCATAATGCTGCTGGGCTCTACATGGAGAGCTTCTAGAGCTAAGGTGGGTGGAGCTCTCGAAGAGCTTGCAGGGGCAGGGAAGGGCCTTCCAGGCCAAGGGAACAGCAGGAGCAAAGGTGGGACTGACTGTCTCAGAGGGTAGGGAGAGTGCAAGGAACGGCAAGACACTGAAGGTGGCAGGAAGCAAGGCTGTGGTGGGCTTGGTGGGTCTCAGCTGGGCACAGGGCCCCACCCTCTGGCATTTAGAAATGTACGGAGACAGTATTGGTCTCGATAATGACGACCTAGGCTCACAACCACGCTTGCTCGCTGCTGACACTACAGCAGTGCCATCTGCAACCTATTGGAATGCAGGACCCCAGGGCCACTGGCCCTCCCCTGGAGGACTGTCGGGGCATGATGACCCTGCGGTGGCGGAGCTACTAGCATTTCATAGCTGGAGCCTGGCATGCTAAACATCCTGCAATGGGCAAGACAATCCGACAAAAGGAAGAAGTGTCCTGACCAAAATGTAAATAGCAACTTCGTTAAAAAAGAAAAAGAAAAAAAAGAAAACGTGTATTAGACTAATCATGACACGTACTTCCCAAAAGAAAAATACCCCAACGACAATTGTCGACGAGAATTCCATTGAGGCCAAATGATGGGACGTCAACTAGATAGAAAGAGCCTGGCCGCACTGGTACCATTGAAAAAGATCTCAGGGTCATTGGGGACCTCGAGCTGAGTATAAGGGAAGCAACAAAAGGCTCAGGCAAATCGTTTGGGCCTGAAGCTTCAAAAACGGGGTTTATTTAGATAATCCCTCCCCAGGCCTCCCTGCCTCAGCGCCTGGTTTCTCTAAGGATTTATTTCGTGAAAATGTCTCTCTCAACAAGTAAGTTATCCTACGCTGAGCCGATGAGGGAATTCTTCTCTGCGTTCAAAACCACAAACCCTGGGCAGCCCTTCTGCGGTCCAGCGCAACTTTCTGCAGCGTCAGGTTATGAATCACTCATCAAATCCGTGTCTGATTCCAGGCCGGGCTGGGTGCATGGGGGAGGGGGGCATGCATTCCACTCCCAGCTCAGGGGGCCGTGTGGGCTGGGCTGGACCAGTTTCTCCTGACTCTGAGTCCCCAGGGGTCATCTCTAGAAATGCCCAGACTGGGTTAGGTCTCATCTACTGCTCCAGGCCCTCCACACAGATGAGCTCCTTGAGGCCTCAGAATGACCAGGTGAGCTAAGGCTGGTTAGCCCATTTCAGAACTGAGGGGGCAAGCGGGGGAGGGTGTGTGTGACATGGTGAAAAGGAAAAGGTGGCAGGACTAAGACTAGAAGCTATAGGGGTCTGACTCCAAAATCCTGAGCATGTCTTAGTGTGCCCGCTGAGACTACTGACCATGCTGCTTACTATTGATGCTCCGGTGGTGCCATCCCCAACCTGCCAGGCTACAGAACCCCAAGGTATGACCTTCTGAGGACTGTGGGGCCACCTCAACCTTAGGGGCTCTTCTATAATAGTTTGAGAACACCTCTCTTCCCCTCTGCCAAACTCAAGGCCCAGCTCACGTCTCATGTCCCCTGGAAACCTCTATAGCAGAGCCCTGGCACATAGTATGTCCTCAGTAGGCAATTGTTGAATGCAAGGGATGAATAAATGATCAAAATCACTAATAATAGTATATGTGCACCATAAATGGCTACTGAATCAATAAATGAATGGATTGATGGGTGCGGTGTGGTCCTAGAACAGGAAAATGTAAGGAACTCATATACAGATTTGAATCCTGGCTCTGTCACTTACTAGCTGGGTGACTTTGGGGAGATTACTTTGCTCTGTAAGCCTTGGTTTTCTCGTCTGCCATATGGGGATAATGGTAGCACCTACCACAAGAAGTTGTTATGAATATGCAATGGGATAAGGGACCAGCAGAGTTTGGCACAGCACCTGGCACCTGGGCATTCTTGAGAATGGAAACTGTTAATCTCACGACCATCATTATTATTTACAACAGATGCTTGAGGGCTTGGGACCAAGAACATTTGAGGTTTCCTGACTTTGAAGAAATCATCAACACAGATACGGACAGAACAGGCATTTTTAAGAACAAGAAAATCTTGAAGAGAGGATGGGAAGCAAAGACCAGACTCCCAAGTGAATAAAGCCATCTGTGCTTCTCTCTAAATCGTCCCCAAAGTGAAGGTTGGGCCAGGCTGAGTTCCCAAGGATCCTTCCAGCCCCAGAGTGGGGATTTCTCGTCTCTGAGATGAGTTGGTGTTTTTCATTTTAATGATTTCCTTAGGTCCTGCCTCAAGGAAGCCATGAACTCAAAGAGTTCTTCAAGGCAGGCTGATAAAAGCCACATTACTCTGGCCTGAGTACCTAGCTCCAATATCATTTTAGGGTCTACTTAGTTTTAGATGCATCGGAACAGCCTGCGCATTATCATAACTCCCTCCAACTTCCAAGGTCTTGTGGGGGCGTCACGCCAAGTTGTAAAAGATTCTAGGATAGAGGAGGAAGTTATTTTTACAGGCAGACAATGTATTCATTCATTCCTTCATTCATAAAACATTGATTTGAAGGCCCACTGGTAACAGACCCTATGCTAGGCACTGGTGGCCCAAAGATTACCAAGATAAGAAAGTCTCTACATTCTAGTCTAGTGGTGGAGGGCAGCGTGGACAAAATTAACCATATTTTAGTGTTATAAAATCATCTGCAAGACAGTTGTAGATGAAGGGCTGAGGGTGGGTATAGAGCAGGATATATATACTCAGGAAGGAACATTAGAGTTGGGCCTTGAAGGATGACTAGGAGTTTGCAAGACAGAGACGTGGAAGAAGGGCATTCATTCTAGGCAGGAGCTAGGACCTGAACTATGGTCTGGGGGCATAGCAGTTTATGACACATATGTATGAAATCTAGAGCTAATGGATGCAAATGACAAGGACAGGCAGGGAGGTCAGCGGGGGCCAGCTCACCAAACAGTTGCATTAGTAAACTAGAGGGAGGTGTTTGACTTTGAGGTTTTTAGATATTAAGGAGCCCAAGTTCCCAGCATAGGAGTAGTAGGGTCTGAACTGCAGTTTCGAGGACTCAGTGCTTACGCTTAGTGGGGTCCGGAGGAACTTAGATGACCCAGGAGAGGACAGGTATGGCCCTGAGGGCAGGTGGTGGCTGTTGGGATAAAGGTCAGGGAATAGTTGGAATGGCTAGGGAGAAAGGGAGGCACAGGTGAAAAGAACCATGCTGGCTCTGGCCCAGGTACTCTCTCCCAAGAGCCACAAGGCAGCCAGATTAGGAAACTGAGGCACTGGATGACTGCTCAAGATTCCTAGTCAGGTCAATGGCTGGATTCACAGACACCCAGAGGCTTCTGGGGGGAGTCTCAAGTTCTCGGTTATGCCTCCCCTTTAGAATCCACTCAGAGAGCCATTGCCAAGGTGGCAGCCGACATCTCTGAGCCAACCAGCGGGCCCCAGCCTCCTCCCTCCCCCAGCTCTGGTGGGGGGTGGAGGGGGGCCAGGCTGGTCCCTGTGTCTCCATCAACGAAGTTCCATTATCCTCTAAGGCCGGGTGACCCCCTGCTGCTGCCCCACAGTGTGCTGGGAAGAAAAGCTCCTCTCTGACAAGAAAGCCCCATTCCAGGCTGGGCCCGGGGTCTGGGCAGCGCCTTTATCCACGGTGACCCTGCCACAGTGTCAGCGGCACAAATGTGTCGGGCTGCAGAGGCTGCCCCCCACCCCCCAAAGGGCCTTGTGCTGAAGCTGTGAAGAGGCCTCCTCCTGGGGCCTATGGGAACCAGACTGCGGCCTGCAGGCCCCATTGATGCTTCCAGACCCCTTCCCACCCCCAAGGAATCAAGCTCAGGCCAGCATAGTGACCAAGGAGGGATTGTGGGGTGAGGGGCAGCTAAACAGAGCCCCTGCTTGGGCACTGGGAAGCGGGGGGGGTGGGGGGGGAAGCGGCAAGGAACTCTTTGTCCAGCCTCCAGAATTATTTGGGAGGGAAAGTTGAAGGGGAGAGGCTTTTGTGCCTCTGGGCCCAGCCCCCAGGCCTCATTCCCCACACCAAGCAAGCAAGAGGGGCCTCCTTGTCCCCAACCTTCCCCCAGACAGGCCTGCTCACTCCTTGCCCAGTCTCCCTCTAGGTACAACCTCAAGGAGGAAGTGGAGGCCTAACCCTGACCGGCCCCCTGCAGACAGCCACCTGCATACCCTTTTAGAGGCCAGGTAGTGTGTTCCCTTCCATCCCGCTTTATAGCAACAATGATGATGACCGACTATTATCTTTATCGAGCACTTCTTCTGTGCCAGGCATGGGGCTTTGTGCCTCTTGTTTTATATGACCATTCTCATTTCACTGATGGTGAACTGAGGCTCAGAGAAGGAAAGTAGCCCATCTAAGGTCACAGAGTGTATAAGTGGCTGGGCCAGAATTTGAACTCAGGTCCATTAGACTTCAGAGCCCACACTCTTAACTACCATATAAGACTCCAGAGGCTGCTCATGAAGGGTAAGCAGGCAGAGGCTCTGCTCCAGTTCCAGTGACGTATCAATCCCCCGGCCCTCAGGGCAGACTCATTTCCAAAGAGCTCTCAGTGTCCTACAAGAATTGTGAGGCTGTCTTGGGATGGGGGAGGCAGTTTAGGGGAAGATAAACTCCCATAATTTAAGCCAAACAGTCCAGCTTAAATTGCAGATTTTCCAGTCATACGGAACTGAGAGAGGGGTTTTCCCCAGAGCTCTCAAATCAGACCCCTAGGAAGTGGAAGAAAAGCCGTCATGCTAGGGGTCCCCAGGGAGCTGGACAAGCTGGTCCTCAGGCGCTTCTCTGCTCAGGCCCTGGGATAAGTCAACACAGCACTTCTCTTCCAAAGGCAGAAACTCACGATGCACTTGAACTTCCTCAGAATCCCTCGTTCCTTAGAATAGCCTCTGGAGGATGCTGCAACATGTGCCCACCCCTCACCCCCAGGCCAGGGGTGAAAGAGCACAACCTTTGGAGTCAGGCAGAGCTGGTGCAAATTTCTGCTGTGCAGCCCTAGTGAGTGTTACCCTCTCGGAGCCTCAGTTGCCCTACCTGGTGGGACTGCTATGAGGATTAAATGAAATAATGCATGTAAAGCATCAAACACCCTGCCTGCCACGAAGTAGATGCTCAATAAAACCACCCAGGCCAGGGGTGAAAGAGCACAACCTTTGGAGTCAGGCAGAGCTGGTGCAAATTTCTGCTGTGCAGCCCTAGTGAATGTTACCCTCTCTGAGCCTCAATTGCCCTACCTGGTGGGACTGCTATGAGGATTAAATGAAATAATGCATGTAAAGCATCAAACACCCTGCCTGCCACGAAGTAGATGCTCAATAAAACGATGCTGTCATCATTAACATTGGCAATACAGAGCAAGACAACACAAGTGCTTAATCTGTGAGTCCCCTGAAATCATATACAAAAGCACATGTTGCCTGTGTCTCTTTTTTTCCTGGAAGAGGGGAGTTCATAGCTGTTGTCAGGTTCTCATGACTCAAAAGAACCACCGCCAAAGAACAGAGGCATTTCTGTAGCACTCTTTTGGGGTGTACATATCTCTGGGCCTGTTTCTCCATCTGAAGACTGGGGACGCCTGCCCTGCCTATCTCACAAGGCTGCTACGAGGCTCACTCAAAACTGTAGAGGTGAGAGGACTCTGCAAACTGTACAAGGTATGTGTGAGGGGTGGGGTACTTTATCCTAAAGAGTCACAGCCAGCTGCCTACAGGCTGGCCTATAGCAGTGGCTGCTCTTGAGCCCCTGCACAGAGGGGCCTGAAAGGGACACCAGCCTCCTGCTCCGCCCCAGGCTGGCTTCCCGAGTTGAGGACCAGAGCAGAGCTCCAGCCTCTCGACTAAGGAGCTCCCTATGGGAGCGGCTTCTTGCCTGTGCTTTTGTTTGAGGAAGCCAGGAGTCCAAGAGTTGGAGTCCTGGGTTCAATTTCAGGCTTTGTCTCCACCAACTCCAGCCAGCCTGACGAAATAGCGATGAGTGTGGGCTTTGGAGTTTGAAGATCGTGGGTTCAAATCCCAGCTCTGCCACTCACTGGCTGTGAGGCCTTGGGCAAGTTCCTGAACCTCTCAGAGACTCAGTTTTCTTATCTGGAGAACAGACATTATACTAGTTCTGTCTCTCAGGCAAAGATTCTAAAAGGCAGTATAATTGGAATCAGGCTGCAGTATATGTTAATTCCTACTCATGTGAACACACTTTGTAAAGTCAACACCGTGCTAATAATTTTTGTCATTCACAGCATTACTCATCACCCTGTAACCTTGCACAAGCCCTCTGGGTTTGAATCTAAGGAAAAATCCACTTGGGCAAGTTCTTTCACCCCTCTGAGCCTCAGTCTCCTCAACTGTATCATGGGCCTCGTTCGTCATCTGTATCCAGCTGACATTGACTAAGTTTGAGTGTGTAATGTGCCAGGTCCTGGGCCAGATGCCGCTGGTAAAAACAGGAAGATGGTGTGGTCCTACCTCCAGGTGTTGGATCATAGAGACCCAACTGCGGGAGGAGCCACTGCAGTGTCAGCTATTGTTAAAGACCACCAAAGGGCCTCCAATTGCAAGTCGGAAAATAAAAAGAGATCCCTAAATATTTACCTCTATGCAAAAGAACCCTCTAGCAGAGGCACAAAAGGAAGCTTTACAATCTAGTCGTGTGTGTGTGTGTGTGTGTGTGTTGGGGGTGTTGAATGAAATGAGGTCATATGAAAATGGACTTTTTGTTTCAAGATGGCATTTAAAAAAATACTCCTATGAGTACGGGGAAAGGTTTTCTCAAAAATTAAAGAGAAGTGTTTAGAGACACCCTCTGCCCCTCTCCCAAGCCCTACCTTGAATCCTCCTGCCTCCCGCCTCCAGGCATCTGCACCACCACCTTCTCAATGCCCCCTTCACCTTCCCTAGGCCCCTGCAGCTCTTAGCTCCAGCTCCTGGGTGGCAGCCGGCCCACACATCTGGGCAGAAGAGAGCCAGAATTCACTGAGCCCCACCCTCTGAACCCCTTCCAAATGGGTTCTTATTTCATCCTCCCAGCAACCCTGGGAGGTAGGGCTTCTTATTATCCCCTCTGCACAAATGGGGAAGCTCATCACCCCTGGAGCTCAGAGAGGCTGTGTCCCCCAGTCAGAGGTCACAGCCTGCGAAT